TATATATATAAAACACTTTTAATTAAAAGTTATATTGAATTTTGAGTTTCATAAATTTTCATTCAGGTCCTCACATTCATTTCTTGCTTCAGCACTGCTTCTAAAGGTTGATTAATTTGAGTTTGCTGCTCTAAATGCATAGTTTTAGGTCCATTTTAAAGTAAAATATGCATAAGAAATACCCAGTAATCACACTACTTTTCTGTAAAATATAAAAAAAAATTATGTTCAGATAGATTTGGAGTCAGACTGCAACAACTCGTGGCCCTCAGCTGCAGATCGGTGCCACAGTCTGAGCCTCTTTTTTTTAATTTTTTTCAGAATAGTTCTGCAACTGGAAGCTCTTGCCAGCGTCTCCAGAATACACAATCAGGTAATGTTGCCAGGCAAAAAGTGCCAGCTCCTAACCAATAAGCTGAGTTTTGGCAACATTGCATAGCAACAAAAGTTCAAAACTGAACCACTCAAGGTTTGAAATAGTCTAAAACAGTAATCAAGAACCGACGGTGTAACACATTTTGGCTGATAAAAGGCTTTGGAGGAAAGAGCAGCCCAGCTGGAATACCAGGGAAAGGAACAGAAACATGTCTGTTTGACTAGATTCACATGAATTCATGACAAACGTGTTCGTCACCTGTAATTATTTCATGATTCATTCATGAGACAAACTGGAACAAACAGTTCAACCCTGTCTTTTTTCCCGTGTTGCTTTTCTCAGTTTGTTCTCATTTACTTTCTMTTATAAATGATCAACAAATTTAAATATTAGGCATCAGAAAAGAACAAGCAAAAAGCCTTAAACGTTCAGTGGTCTTTCCCCCTGCAGGCTGCTTTTCTAACCCATGCTCGTCCAACGCAAATTCAAAACAGAGACCTTTGAGCCGAGGCACGTTTTCTTTGGTGACCCACAACTTCCTGAGCCAAAACAAACAAAAGAACAATAATGTGAAACAATGTCATGATTAAAAAGAAAAAAAATTCTGGACGGGTTCTTCTCTAATGAAATGTTTCGTCTCTCCTCCAAGAGACTTCTTCAGTCTGAGAGTTTCAGGCAAAATTCAGGCTTTTAAGCCCTGCCTCCATGTGACTGATACGCACATCACATGGCTATCGTTGACACCTAATTAACACCAATTGTTAACAGGGGGTGGAGTGATACTGGCAATAGCCGCACTGTAGGAGGGGGACAACTGAAAACGGAGGCCTCCACCTCTGTTTAATGATGGACGGTCTTTCTTCACAAAAATGGCTTCTTTTACTCCTCTCTCAAACCAACGTTCCTCTCTATCAAGAATGAGAACATCCTCATCTCTGAAAGAGTGACCGCTGGCCTGTAAATGAGTGAAAACTGCAGAGTTCTGGCCATTAGATGTAGCTCGTCTGTGTTGGGACATTCTTTTGAACAGTGGCTGCTTTACAGTTATACATCGGGGAAACAAAGCAGCCACTGTTCAAAAGAATGTCCCAACACAGACGAGCTACATCTAATGGCCAGAACTCTGCAGTTTTCACTCATTTACAGGCCAGCGGTCACTCTTTCAGAGATGAGGATGTTCTCATTCTTGATAGAGAGGAACGTTGGTTTGAGAGAGGAGTAAAAGAAGCCATTTTTGTGAAGAAAGACCGTCCATCATTAAACAGAGGTGGAGGCCTCCGTTTTCAGTTGTCCCCCTCCTACAGTGCTGCTATTGCCAGTATCACTCCACCCCCTGTTAACAATAGGTGTTAATTAGGTGTCAACGATTAGCCATGTGATGTGAGTATCAGTCACCTGGAGGCAGGACTCAAAAGCCTGAATTTTGCCTGAAACTCAGACTGAAGAAGTCTCTTGGAGGAGAGACGAAACGTTTCATTAGAGAAGAACCGTCCAGAGGACCTACAATTTTTTTCTTTTTGATTTTTTTTTACCTGGATTACTGAGATGCATCAGGACAAATAGCATGATTTTTTTTAAATTTTCCTCACTTTTAACCAAGTGTTTGTGATGTATGTATTTATTGAACAGGTTAAACATCTCAGAGTTAAATATTAAACATTTAAAACGTTTGTGCTGTGTTGTTTGTTGTAGATTAGTGTGTTTAAAATGACATCAAACCTTTTATTATTTATATTTTTACCACACGTGGTTAAAACACATCTGCATATGTGAAAAGATTAATTTCCTCAGGCGATTATTTTCAGAAAATATTTTTGTTGCTCAACTCGGAAATGTTATTTCAGAAAAACTAAAACAAATAGCGTGCATTTAGATAAATGAAAGGAAAGTGGCTGCAGCAGGAGTAAAGTCATTTTCCGTCTCCTTGGTGACAAATGTGTGTCTGAGCGTCTCGACGACAGCCTCCATCTCAAAATGTYGACTCTGCTGATTGTTACCGCCTCGTATCAGCGAGCCTTCGAAACCTCTGGTAATTTACTTGTTTTGCTCTGAAGATATGAGACTTTGTTGGTGATTATCGAAATGCCGAGTCAGCGTTCTTTTCCGTTTTATGGAGTTTTTTTGGTTTGTTAGTTTTTTTTCTGTAGGTTCTTGAACAAATTGCAGACTTACTATTTTAACCATTTAGAAATCAACACATTCAGCAATTTCACAACACAAAAGATAAGAGCTTTTTGTTTTTGTGACTTTATACCTTTTAAAACACTTAACTTTATTTACATTTTGTTTTTCTCTTAAACTCTGTTTTCTGTTTTTCTAAAACTCAAAATCCTTGAAGCGATCAGTTTTCTTTAGCTTTTGCAGTTTTGTTGCTTTGCTATTTTTAAGCTAACTTTAGCTTTTGTTGATCATTTAAGCTTGTAGATATTATTTTTCTGGGTTTAATACTATTCTAATTTAATCTTTTAGTCACTTTCCTAATGGTATTAGCTACAGCTTTGCTAATTTTACCTTGTTGCTACTGTTCTGATGATAGCCTTTTTGTTTTATTAATGTTAGCATATACAGCGGGTAAAATAAGTATTGAACACGTCACAATTTTTCTCAGTAAATATATTACTAGAGGTGCTAATGACATGAAATTTTCACCAGA